GAGGCCACACCTCGAGTATTGTGTCCAGTTTTGGGCACCTCAATACAAGAGAGATATCGAGGTGCTGGAGCGAGTGCAGAGGAGGGCAACGAAGCTGGTGAAGGGCCTAGCAAGCAAATCATATGAAGAGCGGCTGAAAGGAGCTGGGACTGTTTAGTTTGAGGAGGAGGAGGCCGAGGGGAGACCTCTACAACTATTTCAAAGGACACTGTAGAGAGGTTGGTGCTGGTCTCTTCTCACAGGTAATTAATGACAGAACAAGAAGGAATGGCTTCAAGCTCCAACAGGGTAGATTTAGACTGAACATTAGGAAAGAATTTTTCACAGAAAGAGTGGTGGGGCATTGGAATAGGCTGCCCAGGGAGGGGGTTCAGTCACCATCCCTGGATGTGTTTAAGAGACGTTTAGATGTGGTGTTGGGGGATATGATGTAGAGGAGAACTTTGTAGAGTAGGGTAGATGGTTGGACTCAATGATCCCAAGGGTCTCTTCCAACCTAGACAATTCTATGATTCTATGATTTTGTTGTTGCTCACAGATATGCTCCAAAACTGACAAACTACATTTAGATCAAAATTTAAGTGACAATGCTCTAATGAACGTTTTCAGAAATAGTTTTACATACTGGATACTTATTAGCATGTAGGCTAGGAGCAGCAACAGAAGTCATTGTCTTATTAGGTATTTTCTATATAATAGAGAAATCTGTTGTCCTGGTACAGATAGCAAATATATTAAAAAGCACTTCTAAATCTGTATCACTGAAAGCCTTGCTTTGGAGTACAGATATATATTTTAGCATGTATTACACAGCTTACCATAACAACCCTAGACCTTGAAACCACTTCTGCTAAGCTCTCCTAATGCTTGAGATGCGTTCTCCCTCTGACAGTCGCGTGACTGGAAGTTGAAATTTGCTAGAAAAGCTCTTCACAGATGCAACAAAAAAGCAAAGACTAAATATTTTAGTTATACATGTGTATTTTTTTTTAATCTAAAGCCACATGAGTTACATATTTGAAAAAACAGATTCCGGAGGGGGGTGGGGGGTGGAGAACAAAACAAAAGCAAAGAACAATGATCCCATGTCATGTTTGACTAGAGCTCAAGAATTTTTAACAGTCCAAATATTACTCTATCACTATTCGACTTAATGTTATACAATATATTGCTTAATCAGAAAGCAAATCAAATTACTCAGTCCCACTCTCCCCCCTTTTCCCCAGAAGGGGGGAGGTTTCCACTGAGAAGAAATCAAATAGGGACCTTCCATACAAACAGCCCAACTCAGCTTCTATAAACACAATGCCCTCATCTGCCATTTAATCACCAAAACTCCCCCCATAAATTAAGTAGAAGGTTTATTCCGCCCTCTTTTGAGACGTCAACAAGGTTCACATACGTACTAATTATAGGCTTTTCCTACACCTACTTTTGTAGCATTTACCCTACTATCAAGTAGCATAAACCTTTTCTTTCACTGATTTAACATAAAGGTGTTCACTCATAAAGGCCTTCATCTTTATGAGTTTCCCCCAAAACATGGAAAAATCTTATTGCCACACAAAAAAACCAAAAAAAGCAGTACTTACACCAGCACTACTAGATCAACATTAATGAAAAAAGTTGAACTGTGGGCTCAGACCACACCAAACAGAGAATTTCACTTGGCTGAGTACAATATACTCAAGCAAGTAGCACACAACAGTTCCTAGAAAAAAATCCAGGCAGAACACTGACTTTTTCTACATATGCATCTAGACTCAAGAGACTGAATTTCAAGTTCAGAAATACCGAAGCACATATCAATTTTCTTAAGCTTAATCTCAAAGATCTTCACACATTTATGTTTTCATGTCCCACCTTGTTCAATGTTTAGTGTACATGACACACTAAAGACAATGAGTTGTCCATCCAGAGCAGCTGGATGAAAGGGCATGACAAAAAAATAATTAAAAAAACAAAACACACAATGGACAGGTGACAATCTTCCCAGCACACTGGCTGTGCCAGTCATCACTCATTCCAGGTCACACTGCTCTTATAGTCTTAACAGACACTTCTTGAAATGTGAACTGACAAATCAGCAAAATACTGTGTTAGATGCATACTACTTTTCCCCACATTAAGCAAGTGGGATAAAAAAAAACGAAACAAACAATGTAAACACACTAACAGTGACCTTTCTTTGTGAAAAACGTAATCAGCAGTGGTGAAGTGTGATTTTCTGTGTTAAGAAAGGCTTCTTGGTGCGTCATTGCTGTATGCCACTCCCACAGAACACTGCCTGAGTTTGCAAGCGATCTCACTCAGGGCCCGAGTC